CAGCTATTTTGTAGCACGCGCCTCCCTCCAGCCCTCCCCAGCCCTCCCCCCCAGAGGCGCCACTCTCCTCTCAGACCCGAGGCACGCCTCGCCCCAGGCTCGAGAGGAGGCGGAGGCGCTCGGAGACCTCCCCATGCCGCTCGGCGACTTCGCACTGCCCGCGCACGGTCGGCGCCCGCTTAGGCCTCTGCCGGGGGCGGCGCCCGGTCAAGAGATCTACCTCTCCCCTCCCCCGCTCCCCGAGCCGGCGGCTCCCATGCCGCCGCCCACGCCGCCGCCCACGCCGCCGCCCACGCCGCCGCCCACGCCGCCCACGCCGCCCACGCCGCCGCCGCCCTCGCCGCCGCACTCGCCGCCGCCCTCGCCGCCGCCCTCGCCGCCGCCCTCGCCGCCGTCAACGCCGTCTTCACCCGCGCCGCCGCTGCAGCCGCCGCCGTCAGACTCCTCCGCCGGCCTCTTCTCGTCCCTGCAAGCCGCCGCGGGGGACGAGGAGGCGCCACCGCCGCAGCCGCCGCCGGGCGTCGGCTTGCACGGCGGCAATTCGGCGGACTCCGCACGCTTGTCTGCTCCTCCGCCGCGGTCTCCCGGCCGAGCAGGGGCGAGCGGCGCGGCGCTGCAGAGCCTCGCGAGCCTCGTGGGCAGCCCGACGCAGTCGTCCTTCGCCGGCGGCGGAGCCGGCGACGGCGCGGGAGGCGTCGGGGGCGGCGGCCGCTGCTGCGGCTGCGATCCCGCGGCGTGGCGGCGTGCGGTGGGGGGCGGGCCCCCGCGCAGCAGGGAGGGGGAGCAGCTCCGCACGCTCGCGGTCAACGAGTTTCTGGCGCGCGCGCAGAAGGACCTGCCCGCGTTGCGCGCGCGGCTGCAGCGCGCCGCGACGCGCGGCGAGCAGGAGGCGGCTGCCGCGGCATGGGCGCGCAGGGTCGGCCTCACGCGGAGGACACAGGCGGAGGACGCTGGTGTCGAGGGTGGGAGGCATGTCCCCAGGACACGTCCATGACACGTCGACGACTCGCCCCGTGCAGGCGGAGCTGCTGCGGCTGGTCGAGGCGGAGGCGGGGGAGGCGGCGGGGGAGGCGGTGCCGGAGGTGGGCTCCGTCACGTCGGCTCGCTCGGCGCCGGCGGCGCGCAGCCGCCGCAGCCGCAGCCGCAGCCGCCGCAGCGGGCGCACCGCTCCGCCGCCGCGGCGGCGGGCGGAGATGGAGGCGTGGAGCGAGGGCGTGGGGATCACGCTCCCTTGGCTGGTCGGCAAGCTGCCCTGGGGCGCCCTCGGCCGCGCCGCGCGCGCAGACGAGCGTTTGGCCGCCGAGTCGCGGCTCTCCTCGACCGGGGCTCGCGACGCGGCGCTCCAGCTCTTGCCGTTGGCGAGGCTGACACGTGCACGTCCATGACGCGTGCGGGAGATATGCCTCTCCGTGTAGGCGCTGCAGCTCGGGTCGGCGGCGTGTCTGCTTCTCGCCCTGCCGCTCGTCGCGGTCTTTTGCCTCTCGCTGGGTGTGCTGCTCCCTCTCGCGGTCCTGCTGCCCCGTCTCGAGCCCGCGCTCGACCTCTCGGCCGGCGAGCCTCTCCCGGTTCTCGCCACCGTCCTCTCCGCTTGGTACGTCCCCGTGCTCGTGGCCGGCGAGCGGCTTCGCGCCGCGCGGACGGTATGACACGTCCAGGACACGCTCAGGACACGCCCACGGCACGTCCCCTAGGCGCGTTGCTCGTGCCGCGCGTGCGCTCCTTCCAGCGCGTGCGCGTGCGGTTGCGTGGCGCCGACTCGTTCCCGAATGCTTTCTATTGCGCCCCCGTCGCGGCGGCCATCGCAGCGCGCTGCGAGGCCGCCGTCGCCGCGGTGCGCACCTATTCTCGGCGGGCAGCCGCGGCGCCCGTCCTCCTCAAGTTTGGCGCCGAGTGCTCCATCTGCATGGGGCCCATCGAGCCGGGGCGGAGGGTGCGCGCGCGCGAGTGAGAGAGACGCCCGCCAACCGCCATCTCTTCCGCGAGGGATCCCTCCTTGCTCTCGCCCCGCCCCCGACGCCGCACCCATCCAGCCCGCGAGCCCCCAACCCCCGT